ACTCCCTTATATGGGCTATATAGGTATGTGCGGCCCCAAAGGGTATGGTTTTTCAGCCGTTTTGGTCATATACAGGGTATCCATTTTAGCGAATTTTGGCCAAATGTTTTCATACTTTGAAATAGGGTATGGCTTTTGCACTCTAACCTTGATATGAGTATGTTTTTAAGAAGAAGCCACATTTTCGTCATTATTGAAAAGAAAATCAACAAAAGCCCTTCATAAATTACGTTTACGGTAATTTAACATTCGTCTGAATTAGGGAACTAATTATAGCGCAGGTCTGAAACAGGGTTTCGATTTAAGGGTCATAAATAGGGTTTCGAATTTTTAGTCGGGTCATAAATAGGATAGGGAATATCGCAGATTTTGGTCATAAATAGGGTTAGGGTTTTGGGAAGCGGGCCGCACACCCCCACCCAATTTTTCTGNCCCCCCCCCCCCCCCACCGGTATACAATATTCTTTTATCTCATATCTTGAAAATCAATCTTATTAACTCAGTGCCCAATCCGCTCCTTGTGTTTACATCGATTACGTTTCTCTGAGTCACGTTACAAATTTGCATGACTATTTCCCTGGCCAAGTTGCGTTACTGATCACTACTATTCATAGACTGTTGACAGCCTCTCTATTTACGCGGGAGTGGGGGGTGGGGTTTGCGAACGAAGCGAGCAAGAAGAATAGAGAGGCTGTAGACATCTTTGGTAAAGAGTGGACTTATTAGGCTCCTCCCCCTGTTATCGCCTTGTTACTAACAGCTCCACCCCTTAACCAATTAACGAAATCGGACCAATAAGCTAAAGCTAAATACTTAATACCAGCTTCCGACTACTGCCGAACATTGTTTCGTTGTCTGAACTGTGTTCAACGATTTGATTACCGCGCGCTCGGCAGTAGTCGGAAGCTGGGAGGAGCCGCCGAGCATTTGATTGACGGTAGCGAAGAACCATTTGTCGGTTGAGGTTCAAATTTTAGAGTCCGCATGTTATTGAAAGGCGCAGTAAGGGGTGGGCGTATTGAAGAGGTAGGATCAGATTTCCTGACTGGTCTATTTTAAGTGACGTCTTAACAGACATCACAGTGTTGCACTTCTAAACAACTGTCCTTTAATAAGCATTCGAAATGCAGGTATAATTTTACTAAAAGTTGAAGCGCATACAATATTAACAATGGAAAGATGAATATAACTGGTTCGAGAGGCCGTTTTTTTTTGTTTTTTTTTTAATTAAAGAGTATTATACAGGCTGGGATTTCACTTAGCCTTATTAACGTGGTTTTCTTTTAAGGTACACTCATTCTGGTTGTGTCGATAGTGGTTCCTTCCATCGCTGTGATTGCCGTAGTGGTCATCGTCATTTACTGCGGTAAGTGAATGAGGGCGATACAACCATCACACCTTAACCCGTCCACACTACCCTGGCGGAATTCGACTACGGAGGCTTGACTTTAAAAACGCATCAAATGTTTTCCGTCCATACTACGTCGGAGGAATTTAAAAACGCAACAGTCGCCGGTGATTTTGGATTTGTGTTTGAAGAACACTTGGTCAGGGGAATCACATGATTATCGTGCCCCCATGGTTTACGAAAAGCTTTGTTTTTCCGTCCACACGTAAACGAAAAGCCGGCGTTTTCAAATTCCTCCGGTTTTGAAGAGCGTTTTCGAAAAGCTCCGTTTTCTTGACAGATTAGTGTGGATGGTAGGCCTAACCGTAGAAATTGAGCTACGTTCTCAAATTTTTCCGGCGTAATGTAGCGGGGGACGGGACCAGTCCTATCAATGTCATGTTGGATGGAAGATTCACTTTTCAACACTCGTTTTGTTTTCACAGTTAACAAGAAAAGGAAATCAAGACCATCAATCAGCGACAAGAATGATTCCGACGAGAATCCCTTGGATGGAAACCAGGCAGATTACAAAGAAATGAAAGAAGTCAGCCCAGGTGCCCACTACCCGCTATTGGAATCCAAATGTAAGCCAGATGACGAGGGGATAAAACCTGCCAACAAGTGAGATACCCCCTGTTAGGCTCATCAGCGATAATCTTGAGTAGCTGTTAGTCGCAGGATTGAGCTATTGGAATTTTCCTTCAAGGAAACAGTTTAATTAAACTAGCTCTTTTAAAAAACAGTTTCTCATCTGATAGAAGGAGAACTTAGTATCAGGCTATTTAAATGTGAGAGTAATGTCATCTGCACTACAGAGCTGAACACTGGGTGATGCCTCAGCTGTCACTGATTTTCAGTTTTGCGCCCCTGCGCATAAAGCTTAAGCAAACTGACGAGTGGTAGAGTGCCGACAGTCTGTTTAACTCTCAAAATTCAGAAGGGAATTGTAAGACGAGACGCTTTAGCCTAAAGAGGTATGGGACGAGACGTGGGCGTGGCACGAACGCCTCATTCCCTACTCGGCCATACCGCCCTTTTGCGCTCTCATTGGCTAAACACTCGTCTAAGTGACCCTAAGAGAAAAAACTGGCTGTCAGCAGTCTAGATGATTGAAAAATACAGGTATCGTGTACAGGTGATTTTGCAAAAGAGCACAAGGATAATGCTGACAGAAGGGGTTGAAAGGACAAGAGAGTTTGAAATCCCTCATATAGGCCTTATTCTCAAGATAATCCCTCTTAAGTTATTTTTAGGTATAGTATCCAGTCCTCCGCGGATAACATGCGCTCTTTCACAGGATTTTAGACAATTTTGTCATTTCTGAAGCCGGGAGTGATTTGATAAGGCCTACATAAGAAATAAACTCTTCTACCTTCATCCTCTTTTGTGTTGAGTAATATATACCGTATAACGGCTTTCTTGCTTGCTTATGTAGAGTTACATTTGTTCTCGAATTAAAACAATGGGCTAATATTAATAGAAATATACTTAAAACCCCTTAAAACTTCCTTAATTCTAAACTCAAGCGCAAAGAGCCTTGTCTTAAAACTTCTGCCATGGAAAAAAGATCAATCATTATATGACGACTAACTTCTGGTCCTGTTTTTCCTTATAAATTTTCATGTATATGTTGAATGAAAATGTCTTCGTGGTTATTGATATCTCGGCCAGTGAAAGCCGAAACTGTCCATAGCATTTGTTACGCTAGTTTTCTGATATCTCTAGTTCTCGCGTAGAGCAACCATATCGGAAACGGCGTGTTTACCGCTACAATAGAACGTAGGTTTGCTAGCTCTATTGACCAATGAGATTGCCCGTAGTATCTCAGTTGTTTTACAAAATATGATAAGACTCAAGTTGGTATCGTTCAGGGCTGGTTTTCAGTGGGGCATAAGCATGATTATCATATGGCTAGCTCCGTGAGTGGGCAAGATAAATCAAATCCAGCGCTGTGATTGGCTACCCCAGCGGGCAAGATAGAGCTATCTTGCCCGCTCGGGACTTCCCGCCGTGTCCCGCCAGAAAAATTTCCCCTAAAGCCATATAATAAATCCTTTATTGACCAAGCTTGTTCGGTCAAGATGGCTTGATATTGGCCTTGTTCTTTTTTTGCGAGTTTATGGACCTCGACTCCGTCTCGTTTCATAAACACGCAAAAAAAGAACTTGGCCAATATCCAGCCTCACACTTAGCCAATAACCGATATGTATTTGCAACATTCGCAGACGCGAGAGAGTGCAGTTAAGTAGCGTCTTTGTTGGGANCATTTATTATGCTAGTTTTCTGATATCTCTAGTTCTCGCGTAGAGCAACCATATCGGAAACGGCGTGTTTACCATTTCAATAGAACGTAGATTTGCTAGCTCTATTGACCAATCAGATTGCTCGTAGTATCTCAGTTATTTTATAAAATATGATAAGACTCAAGTTGGTATCGTTAAGGGCTGGTTTTCAGTGGGGCATAAGCATGATTATTATATGGCTAGCTCCGTGAGCGGGCAAGATAAATCAAATCCAGCGCTGTGATTGGCTACCCCAGCGGGCAAGATAGAGCTATCTTGCCCGCTCGGGACTTCCCGCCGTGTCCCGCCAGAAAAATTTCCCCTAAAGCCATATAATAAATCCTTTATTGACCAAGCTTGTTCGGTCAAGATGGCTTGATATTGGCCTTGTTCTTTTTTTGCGAGTTTATGGACCTCGACTCCGTCTCGTTTCATAAACACGCAAAAAAAGAACTTGGCCAATATCCAGCCTCACACTTAGCCAATAACCGATATGTATTTG